CCTCGCGGGGCGGGATGGCTCCGCTTGCTGCTGGAGGCCTGGCGCTGTGGGTGTGGCCGTGCTCCTCGGGGTGCAGGCCAACAGCTGAGGAGAGGGAAGAAGTGGCTTAGCATCCCCAGGTCCCTGACTTGGCAGCAGCAGGGACCGGGGCACGGAAGCCTCTTTCCTTCAGCACGCAGGGGTGGTGGCTACCATTCCTGAGGGACGGGCCGTTTCCTTAGCACCCAGCGGTGCGTGGAAATCCCGCCTGCCGAAGCGCCATGTTGTTCTGAGGGTGGGGGGCAGGGAGGCGTGCGGGGCAGGAAGAGGCCTGTTGAGAGTGGGCTGTGGCGGGGAGGAAGGAGGCAAACCTGAGATCTGTGGGGTCCAACCAGTTGTGAAGCCGTAGCCAGAGTGGACTAGCCACGTTCCTCTGAAAACGTAAATACTTGTGTGAGCCGCACTCGACCGGCCGAATGGCCACGTGGCTGGTGGCCAGCGCGCTGTTAGAGGCCCCAGGCTCCTGGCCCGAGAAGGGGCGCTCAGCCCCGCTTCCCTGGGCTCCGCGCTCTAGACTGAGCCCTTTCACGGCCTTTGAGAAACGGCCCCTGTGGTCGCTCGGCCCCGAGGGCCTTTGCCGCGGCCCCTGGCCCTGAGCCTGCACCTGGCGGGGCGACGGGAGGAGGCGGCGCTGGGAGTTCAGTGGCACAGGCAGGAAAAGGAAGGCTCAATCCAGTCACAGGCCAGGCGGGCTCAGGGCGATTCCCAGGGGTGCGATGTAGGGCCCCTGGGAGCAGTCGGCCGCCCAGCCTGGCTAGTCAGGGCCCGTGGTGCTCTCAGCTGGGAGGTTCCCAGCTGTGGTGCGCAGCCACCGGCTCTTCCCTGTGCATCAGGACTCCGAATGGCTGACCGGCCGTGCCAGGTGCAGACGGTGGAGGTGGCCGGGGCAGCGGGGCAGGGGACCGGGGTGCCCGAGCCCCGCACCCCCATGCTCCGGCACGCGACCTGGGGGAGGCAGGCCGGCCCCACGCCCCTGCTTCCGTCTGGGTGCAGGAGGGAGCTGTCCCCTAGGGCCCTCCGGCAGCCTGGGAGCTTCCCACCGCAGAGCGGTAGTGAGGTCAGCCTAGAGCGAGAACTGCCCGCCAGTGAAGATGTCTGCCGCATGCACAGCAGCGCAAACCCGGAGCGAGTCACGACTTTGCCTGACACCTTTCCCTCCACTCTTCTTGGTCTTTTTCAGTTGGAGGAGGACAGGCATTCCCAGCACTCCCTCCCGAGGTACAGCCCCCTCAGAAGACTGGCGTCCTCCGTCTTCTCCTCCTCCGCCCTGGAGACTGAACATTACCCGCACCTCGGCGGCACTTTCTTACAGCGCAGCCGGTCGGCAGAGAGCAGCCCCGTGCGCATGCCCCACCGCAGGCACATGCCCCTCACGGCAGGAAACCACAGACTCATGCCTTCCGTCCTCCGCATTTCCAGGTCCCAGCTCCAGCAGGTGTGGGCCCGTTTCACCCATAAAACATAGCCCGTCCGGAGGAGCAGCCGCCTCCGCAATGCAATAATAGCGCCCGCCTCCCCACAGTGCGCCGCCACTTAACGCAATACCGAGTCCCCGACAACACGGCCGAAGGGACCGCCGCCGCCAGCCCCGCCAAGAGCAAACCCAGACCGAGCGCAGCTGCCTCGCCAGCCCTCCCGCAGGCCGGGCCAGGCGGCGTCCCGGCGGAAGATGGATGGGACTCGCCCCGGGGAACGTGCCGTGCGTTAGAGGGGCTGGCTCCAGGCCTCCTCTGCGGGGCTCCGCGGGGGTGTCATGCCCCCGCGGGGTTGTGAGTTCCCGGCTGCCACACGCCTGTTCAGATTAGGCCTGGAGTGGAGATGCAGGGCAGGTTCAGAGAGGGCCAACTCTCCCGTAGGTTTGTCATCTTTAGTCTGTTCCATTGGGCCAAATCCGGGAGCCAGCGTCCTCCACACGGACACAGGTAGAGTCCCCCCCGGCTGGTCGCCCGAGTCCGTCCCTCAGGACTTGTGTCTCTCTGTGGAGTCCTGGTCTCGGTTGCTCTGGAATCCCAGAATGTTTGTTGCTGTGTGTCACGCGGTGACAGCGCCTCTCCGTCCCCTGCGACTGTGCCTCTGTGTGTGACAGCGAGCCTGTGTTCTCCTCTCCTCCAGCTCCTCCGGCCGGCCTGCCTTGCCTCGGGAACGCTGCCACAAGCACGGAGGTTTCCTTTCCCGCCCATTGTAGTTGGCTGTATTGAGAACCCCTGGAAGCTTTAGGCCGGGCTGGCTTTTCACAGGGAACCGGCACGGCCGCCTGGCCCGGCAGTGTCGGCTCTTGTGAGAGCGCCCATTTGCTTTGGGGCGGTTTGGCCGGGAACGGGAGCGCGGGCTGCCTCAGGGTAGCTGCTCTCAGCTGCCCCGTGAGGAGAGGAGGCAAGTCGCTGCCAGGAAATCTCCGTGTTATGTTGCTGCTGCTCTGGAGACGCTGCTGCCTGGCCCGTCTCGCGGTGCCCCAGGGGAGCCAGCCTCCCAGGCCCTGCCAGTTTCTTTCTCTTGCTAATTAGATCAGGTTTCTCGTGACACTTGGACCTTGGGCCTCTGTGCAGAGCCCCGGGACTCACTGTCCGAAACCGCGCCTGGAGACGGAGGGGCTCGCTATGGTCACTGCAACCCCAGGGTGACGTTGGTGCTCTCTGGGGCACAGGGCGCCTCCTAGTGGAGCTGCAGTGTCAGCACAGGCCTAGGGGGCAGCCCCCTGGGACTAAGGGAGTGCCTGGGGTCTGTTCTGAGAGGAGACGCAAGTGCCGGCTGGGTTCAGGGCTTGGAGGGACGTGCATGCAGAGGGGAGGGCTCTGAAGAAGGAGCCTAGCCCAGGTTGCTGTGGGTAAGTCGCCGTGTGGTGCTCAGACAGCGTGGCCAGGCAGGACGGAGCTGGGTGCCGAGAGAGGCTGCATTCCCATATCGGCGTTGGGCTGCTTCCGCCCGAGTCGCGAGGCCTTTTCTTCTCCGTCGCGGTCTCTGCAGGGAGGGAGGGGCCCTTGTGAGCGTCTGCGGGAGTCCCGACCCATCCGCGGCACGTGGGGATCGAGCCCTATCGTCCGAAGGACACTGGGCACTGCCAGCCTAGGTGGGTCAGTGGGTTGGCAGCTCCTATATTGCTAGCCGTAGAAGCCCGGGGAGACCGAGCTTTCGCGCCCCTTGAGAATAACGTTCCAGGAGACGGTTTGTGGAGGGCTGCTCCGCTCTGGGTGCTTTCCCTTGTATGTGCCTAACGTTTGCTTTTGCTGGGCAGCACGTCCGGGAGTGCCCAGCGCCTGCTCACGCTGCGCGTTGTCAAGTCCGCCGCTACGCCCGCTCGAAAGCTTTTAAGGAGTTGGCCAAAAAGCTGTCCAGGCAGCTGATATTAATTTGTAGAGTTCTTGGGAAATGAGGGGAGTTCCAGAGGATGGAAAGATCAGTTCACGAAAGAAGGAAATGAGATGGCTGGAGTAATTACAGACCTTCCAGGATCAGTCGTGGAATGGCTGACCTGTGACTTCCAGAAAGATTAAAAGGGCTGCAGCGTAACTAATGCCACTCGCTACGGTTTCATGTAAAACAGGTCTTGGGACTGGAGCTTCTGAGGGGTGGCCGAGTTAGTTCCAGACGTGGTGCTGTTCTTTGACAGGATCGCAAGGCTGGATGAGAAAAGTCGCTGCATTCACATCATAGGCTTAGACTGAAGGCATTTGAGTTCATACTGCAAGAGAGTTAATTAATAGATTGAAAACTGGCTAGTGCCGTTCTCAAATACCGGTAAATGAGAACCAACAAACAGGGTGTTTTAGTTGGGGCCCCCAAGATCTAATCTTGGCCGAGCACCCTTCAGTATTTCACCAGTGATCCATGAAAAAAATTATAAACTCCACTGGTACCGTTTTCAGATGACCCAGATCGATGGGAGGGTCGATTGGATAAGCACGGGGCTGTCGCACCGATCGCTCGGTGAAGTCAAACCAACATGCCCAGAGCAGGGCAGTGCAAGGTGCCAAGAGGGCAGGTCACCCTAACAGGCTGGGGGAGTGTATGTGGGCAAGCCGGTACTTGGCAAGGACCTAGGAGTCATGGCGGTATCGGGTGAATACGTGCCCGAGTGGGGAAGAAAGAGCAGCCTGTGATTCTGGGGTGTAAAAGCGGGACTGCTGCGCAGGAGCGGAGAGGTGGTGTTACCTTTGCGTGTGGCACCGGGCGGCCCGTTTACTAGAGATTGGGGCCGGTTCTGGTGGTAGAGTGGTGTGGAAAAGCAGGAAGAGGCCCAGAAAGGCCGTGAAGTGTAGAAAACCTCCCTCGTCGTGTGAGCCTGAAGGCACTCTGTGGATTTAGCGCCTCGCAGACAGGGCTAAGGGACAGAGCGCTCTCTGCGTCCGTCCAGGAGAGACGCCGGAGGGGGGTTAATCCAGCCGAGGGGCAGGAGATCCAGCATTGAGGTCAGCAAAGTGGAAACCGGACACAGGCTGTGAATTGTTAGCCTTTGCCAGTCAGCTGTGGCGAGCCATTGGCACGGCCTGGCCAGGGGCGCAGGGAAACGCTGTCATTTAGGTTAGGGTTAGACCCGGGCACCGAAGGGGTCACACAAGTGACCGAAACAAGCCATGTCTGGGGGGCGTTACCCCCTGTCCTCCACATCCCAACACCGCCTGCGCAGATGGGGCCCAGCCAACGGGGGAAGGGCCTCTCCCATCACGCCACCCACACTTAGCACCTATGGGGGCTGCTCCTCCCCCTTGAGCTCCCTCTGCCATTTCAGGTTCTTAAAAACAGGTGGGCCTGGCCCCTCTGTGTCAAATGGGGGTGGGGTGGCCCTCTGCCCTCCCCACCCAGTTGCCCGTGCCTAGGGATCGGATGCCTTTCAAAGAGCCAGGCTGCAGCTCCGCACCAAGCTACTGCCTGGCCGCAGGGGTCACTGGGGCTCTGGCCCGCGCCGCGCCGGAGGTCAGACGGCTCCCTCTGCGCACCGAGCGTGATCAGGCAGGTGCTGAGTGGGGGAGGGGCGGTTCTTGCTCCTGCAGGGACGTGGGGCAGTTTGGGGTTTGTTCGGTCGATGGTTATTGCAGGGCGAGAGGGCCACCGCCAAGAACGGCCACGTAGCTCCTAGCTCACTAGACGGCCGTAGGGTCTAGCCCCCACGGCCTGCCAGCCCGCGAGCGCGCCGCGCCATAACCCTTCCCCAACTTCATCTCGCGGACTCAGCCCTGTCCCCAAGCCATGGCCCCTCCCGCGCACGGCAGCCCTCAGGGAAAAGCGGCCTGCCGCCAGGTTTGCTCTCCTAGTCCGATTTTCCCAGGAGCCGACACCTCCCACGAAGTGCCTGGGCGCAGCCTCCACGCGGGACAGACTCCCGCGCCTTGCAGCCGTGCCCAGGAACGGCGCGCGGGCGTGCTTGGTTCCTGAAGGAGCAGCGCTCTGGGATTCCTAAGCGGAGCCCCTTCCCGCACAGCATGCGCTTTCCGTCTCTGTGCCACTCCGACTCAGTCAGCCCCGGATCCCGTGCAGATCAAACTGGACGTGTCTGCAAAACCCTCCTGGCCTGCAGCCTGGTTTCCAGGTGGGGGCTGGGCCGTCTCAGCTCCCCCTTTTCTGTGCCCAACACAATCCCACAGCAAAGAGCTGCCGAGACCTGGATTTTAAACCCCTCTCTGTGCAAAGGTTGCTACCAATGCTGGAGGGAAGCTAATTTAGGAAGCTCTAGGCAAAGGCGTCCAATCTCCCTCCTCCGTTGTCTGGATCACATCATCCCTGTGAGTCATTGGTCCCCGTTTGAGTTGCGCATTAGGCTCCTTCAAACGGTTACTGAGCACAGAGGGAGTGTGGCGAACTGTCACGTCTCTCCCGGCCCTCCTGTGCTGCCGTTAGACCCGCCTGGGCTCTGGGGCGCTCCGCGGCTGCAGACGTTAGTCTTTGGAGGCTGGCTCAGGAGCGGTTAAAAGCCAGAGCACGCTGTTCCTGTCTGAGTGACGGGGCAGTCCCAGCGCTCCAGAGGGAAATTGGAAGCCTTTAAATGGTCTGAGCTTCCTGGTTTCTCCAGTCCTGGAATAAGATGGTGTTTTGCCTTTCGGTCTCACGCCTCGCCCACAGGATCCCAGAGCGCTGAGACCCGATCGGAGTCTCTTCTCCTGGGCGTTCGTTGGTCGGAAGCGGTCGGGATCGCCGGCGGGGGCCTCAGGCAGAAACGCCGCCCGCGAGTAGCGAAATGCGCGAACGAGGAAATCCTTTCTGTTTTCGTTTCTTTGATGTTAAGCAGCCGACTCATAAATAGGCCGCCCCGCGGTGTCTCTGAAACGAGCACCCGCCTCAGCGCCAGGTCTTTTCCCCGAAGTGCTTCCACCGCCTGCTTGTAGCACTGAGTTCACTTTGACACTGAGTTCACTTTGCTTGCTGGTCCTCTCAGGAGGACTGGGCAGGTTGCTGCTGCTCACGCACGTGGCCTGGGGAGGCCGGGCCAGTCTGCGACGTCCTTCTGTCCCGGGAAACTGGCGTCTTGCCAGTGGGACAGGCAGGATCTCTGCCCCGCCCGACCACGTGAGCAGTGCGTCCTGTGTTAGACTGTAGCGTTAACCCCGAATGCCTTTTCTGCTGGCTACTATGAGCCGGAGCCCTGCTTGTAGTGGAGAGCTTTGACCCCTCCCCATCAGATCTTTACCTGGAGCTAGGGCAGTTTCTAAGTAATTTGCACTGCCTAGTAGGGATGTCAGCAGTTACCCGGTGATGTTGATTAGTTAACTGGTGGCCTGGCCGTGCTGGAACAGCTCCCCACCCATCCACGGTGTGGTGTGGTGTGGTGTGGTGGGCCCAGCCTGCCCTGCTTTGAGTGGTTAACTGGGATTTTACATCCCTACTGCATAGCGGAGGACTCTGATCCCGTGTGTTCCAGGTGGAAATCTCGCCGGTGGGTAATGAACCTCTGGAAATACCTGCTGGGCAAAGTCTAGCAGCACTCGGGGGAGGAGACCGAGCGGTCTGCAAGGGTGTGTCTACACTGCCAGAAAAACCCTGCAGCTGCCAGTCCCAGAGCCTGGGGCGGCTGATCCGGGTTCGTGCTGTGGGGCTGAAAACGGCCGTGTGGATTTTCCCGGCGGGGCTAGAGGCCAGGCTCAGCACCCGGGCAGGAATGTCTGCTCGGCTCCACTCAGCCCGGCAGCAGGCGCCCCACGCCCAGTGCCCTGGGCTCTGAGACTGAGGGTTTTCTGCAGCGTAGACCCACGCCGCGGGGTTGTGTTTTCTCACAGACAAGCCCTGGAAGTCCCCGAATGCCTCTTTCTGTTTATAGTCCACAAAGAACCCCAAATACTTCTCGACTTGAAATCAGGGGGTGCCTTTCTTCCTAGCGTGGCTGCCCTCCGTCTGCCCAGGGGTAGGTGGGTATGACAGGGTCACTGGAGAGGCTGGCCAACATAAGCCAAATATGCTCCTCGTTTCTCACCCTTGACCCCTTGGTAGCGGTGGGTTTTTGACTGAAGCTGCCGTCGCTGATGGCGTGGCGGTGCCGTGTGTGTGTGGGCCGGGCCGGGTTTACCACAGGCATTTCTGCTCTGGCAGTGCCAGCGGGCCTGGGTACGTCCGTGCGAGTAACCCGAGGGCTATTGCAAAGGGGGAACGTCCGCAAACGAGGGGCGTACCCGCAGCGTGGCTGGTTCCAGCGACTGGCCCTGTATTTTGTATGCAGGTTAAATCGAATGGCCCGGAAGCCTCGCCCGTCCCTGTATTCGTGCCATGTCTCCTAGTGCGTTTGTCTCCGCTCCTTGCCGCTCTCTCCCAGGGGGCGAATGCTGGGAGGAGGGAACGTTTGCTTTTGGTGTGCGGCTCGGTTCTGGTGTGCGAAGCGTAACGGCCGTTCGGTGTGCAAGTCCCTTCCCTTGCTGCCTCCTCGTCTCACGTGCCCTTTGTCTGGGTCACCGTCCCGTGGGGTCTGCCCCGGCAGGTCCACGCAACAGCACAAAGATTCGTTTCGAGGAAGTGTTTCTAGCTCCCTGGCTGTGTTGAAATCCCTTCTTTGGATCACCGGCCCCGGGACGGGAACGCTCTGACAACGAATGTACATTTTTAACAAGCTGCTAACCCACGGAAGGGGGTGTGTGTGCGAAACGCACCTCCCTGGTCCACTCGCCTGCATGTCTCTGACCGCTCAGAGAGACTCTTGCCCTGCGGCGGGAGCTGTTACGTTTGCACTAAGCGCGGCGTTTCCTGTTGGCTCCCGCCACCCTGCAGACCGGGCCGAGACCGCCTAGCGCTCCCTCCTCGGTCTCCACCGCAGCTTCGGCACGTGCGCAGGCGGGGTGGGCCGACATGAAACGCGCTCACGGCCAGGCCTGTGCCGTGCTCTTCCCAGGTGAATAAAGGGGATGCTCCCGGGATGGCTGCCCCTTCAGCTTGGTCCTTCCTGAGATAACCAGGTCAGGCCGTCGCTGCTGCAGGGGCGGGGATGGACTGGACTTGCAGGCTTTTGACCCTCCTTCCTCTCTCCTGCTGCTGCCAAGTGGCTTTTGGAATTGGGGACCCAACAAGCTTTTCGTGAAGTTTTCCTTCCCGTTGGCTCTCACGTTCCCAGGTTTCTTGCGGACGGTGAAAACCGTCTTTCCGCAGGGGCGGGTCTGTTTGAGCTGAGAGCTGGAGCCAACCTCTCCCAGGGAGGAAAGGGGAGCCGAGTTAGTCTGTGCGCCAGCAACCAGCAGTCCGGGTGCCATGGGATGACTCCTTGTTCTCCCAGGGTTGGTAATCTCAGGAGAAGTAGGGAGTCCTGCGGGGGACATCGGCCTCACAGGTCTCCAAGGTGCCAGGCGGTGAAGAGGGAGAGCCCAGCGAGGAACAGGGCGTGCAGCTAGCACTGCGGTGGCTGTGGCATGTGCCCCTAGAAAGAGCAGCCGGAGGTCTCCGTAGCGTCTGGTGGTAAGACGCTAGGCAAAGAAAGCTTCCGCCGAGATCGGTGCTGCTGAGCTCCCAAGAGCAGGCCCCTGCAGACGAGCGTGGCCGTGCTAGGGGAGTGCATTCAGCAAGGGTACCTGCTCCCTGTCACCTCCCGGGGCAGCTGGCTAGGGCGGAAACCTGCTTCGGGCACTCGGATTTTGTAGCTCCCCCACCCCGAATGAGCCGAGTCCGTGCCGGCCGAGCGTAAGGTCGCCCCCAGGAGATGCTGAGGCCCTGGCAGGACCCTGTTGAAAGCCATTCCCGGGAAGCTCTTGCTGTCTATTTGCTAGCTGCATTCCTCAGGACGAAGGCCTCTTCCCGTTCCTAATGCAGGGCTCTGAGTCGCCCTGGGAACTTGCCTTCCGCTCTTGGACCTTCCAGCCCCCACAAACAAACTCAGGGACCAGCCTGTCCCCCGTTTGCATTGTCTCCCGCAGCCCAAGGCTCCCTCCAGTCCAAATTGCCCGGTTGCTGGAAGGGGCGCAGGCGTGGCTTTCTGGAGCGCGGCGTGCTCTTTGGAGGAGGCGGAATTGCCGGTGCCGATGTAATTATGCCGGCCAGTTAGCCTGGGTGCAGTGTGGGGATGAGCTTCCTGGTGTGTGGCAGAAAGTTCGGCTTGGGGGTTCTGGGTTGGGGTTCTTGGGGAGTCCCCGGTATGCAGCCCTCCCGGCGAGTGTCTTCGTGGAAACACGCTGGACAGACTCGCCGGGGTTGCACAGCGGGTCTCACCTGCCGTTGCAGTCAGAGAAGTCCTGGAAGCGCGTTTCAGTGGGGGACCTGCCGGCTGTAGCTTAGAAGGCAATGAGGGATTAGGATGGAAGGACCAAGTTGTCTGAAGGGGTGCAAAGCTTGCTTTCCGTGCGCCCTTTTATCCTCCCTGTGTCGAATCCCTGTAGAGCCTAAGGTAGCCCCTTGGCCTTTTTGTACTGCAATAACACTGTATTATATGCTTGCACTATTCTCCTGGGCAGACCAAGCATGCGAGAAACCATTTCAAGCTTTTTTTCAGAAGAAAAGCACTGTATGATTGTGTACATAGTGGTGCCACGAGAGTCACTGAATTCTAGCTCCTGTATAAAAGCATGCACTGAATACTGTATGTAGAACACGCTGTAAATGCTGCCGAGTACTGTAAGATCCGACACTTGAAACCACCACAAATGAGCAACTTCATCTAAAAACAAAACAGAAGCTGAGCAATGGATTCTGTGCCTTTTTTAACTCCCTGTATGTTAACCCAGACAATCGGACAAAGCTTGTATTCTACCAAAACCTTATTAAAGAATCAAAGGCAGACTCCGGGTCGTGGTGTTTTCTTTCGCCCCGCCTCCCTCGGCGGTGTCGCGCTGACCCTCCGGAGCCAGGGGAAGATCTCCGTTGTTAGACAGGGCTTCTTGCAGGCACGGGGCGTTCGCTCTGCTTTCCCGGCTAGGCTCAAAGGAGAAAACGTCTCTGGCTTCCCGCAGCTGTTGGCACGGTGGCTGCAGAGCCGGCGGTTGGTCTGAGAGTTTCGGAGTTAGCCGGAAGAGCAGAGCGTGCAGCGTGGTGCTTTTGCAGGCCTCGGTGTTCCTCGTACACAAAGCACGGGCTCGGGGCGGTGGCGGAGGCGTCCTGACCGGTTCATTGCCGACCAAGCAGCGCTGGTGCCCCATAGAGCTGCCGGGACCTGGGAGAAGGTGCCTGTTCAGTCCCCCGGCCAGGGAGCTGCTCCCTAGATCGGTACAGAGAGACCCCTCCTTCCATGCTCCTTTCCTGCCTCGGTGCAAACGGTGCGTCCCTTTCCGTGTCGGCTCATACCAACCTTTCCCGTCTGTTGTTCTGCCCCCTCCTCTTCCGAGGGGTCGTTGTGTCCCTGGTCTGCCTCTGGGACGAGTTGCTCTGGGGCTCCGTGCGGGTCAGGACCGTGCTGAACTGGTTGACTAATACCTAGTGCACGGCCAGGCCTGCCTTGGTTGCCCTGCTCAGGTCTATGCCGGCTTTGGGTTCATGTGTAACTAGCAAGCTAGGGCCGTGAGCGCCAGTTGTCAGCTGGCCCGACGGGATCAGGGGGTTGACTTTCAGCGGGCCGTCTCCGGTGCCTTGCCAGGACCGGAAGAGTTTGGAGAGACAAAGACAGAGACTCTGCTGTCAGTGCAGGGG